CATTGACTACCTCACTTATATTCTTTTTAAGTATAGCTTTTATTCAAAAATTCATAGTCGTTTCGAAACCTACCCACCATGCATATAAGTAATGTAGTCGATTAGAATATGAAATAGAATTTGGCTTCGTTGACACTCCCACTATGTGGACAGCGACAATAAAATCTTACCCTTTACAACGGGTCATCAGGACATTTGTAAAAATTATTTTCGTATAAAAACTTATCCGTTTTCATATATTTGGCAACATCTACTTATGGATGAGGTCATTCCCTTTTAGCTTGACGCTCGATAAGATCAAGATAAAATAATTTGCAAATACAACTTTCTCGCAACTGCCCTTCCGCAGTTCCGGTGAGACATTTGGCATGTGATGAACAGAACTGCAATTCCACCGGCGATCAGCGAATGCTCTTGGACAGTGGAAACCGACGGCATGGGCTGCACGAAGTACAGCTAGCATGGCGTACCCATAGAAAGGATGGAGGCAAAATTCCTTCTGACGTTGGCGGAACCCCAATTCACGTCCAGCAAAGTCGCATTCCTCCGGAACGAAAGCCGGTGCATGGCCCTCTGCTGGGTGCTCTGAACTACGTTGAAGACGATAGACACCACTGTCGAAGGGAGAGTAGTTAAAAAGGCAAGTAGCATCAGATTAAAATAAAAACAATTATTTTTAATTGTCTACCTAAGCGTTAGTGAGCTCGATGAAAAACTAAACCGGGGCTTATTTTATTCTCCCAGATATACCCGTCCATTGACTCATGTTTTCAGTATCTTGTTAAGTCTATTAATTTATATATACTACTCACAAGTAGAATACTTTACTTGATTTTAAATATTTAATGTTGCCTATTTGAGATTCAGTAAAATAATTTCTAGAATTTATGAAATTCACTCAAACTGAGTCAGTCACCGACTTAATGGGACCCTAATCCTTACTTTGCGGATGGTTAAATTTCAGTATTGTTAGAAAAATAGTCCTCTCGAGAAGTTGTACTTCGTATATCAGTGAACATATCTGCCCTTCGCCGAAAAATGCATTAGTTGTGGATCAGAAGTAGACAATTCAGAAAGGCTTTTCAGCAGCAGATGATAAGACATAATTTCAGACAGTGAGACAGTTGAATGTCACTTTGAAACAGATGCTATACTTACGGCAAAACAGACTCGTACTTTTACTATCTTAGATGTTATAAACCGAACTTTTAACTCAATGTTCTCCTACCCTGAATGCGCTAAAAAATAACAAATATAATATATTAATTTTTTCATAAGTGAGTAGATTTTCGAGGCTCGTATAGCATATTACCTTCATCATGACCTGGTTAGTCTCTTCATGCAGGAAATTTGGGCAAAATATGCCAGGCTGCTCTGCATTTGTTGGTTCAAGTAATTATAGAGTTATTTTGA